GACTTTGAGCTTGATCTTGTTGAACAACATGACGCTCTGGTCAGCCTGTTTATCTAGCTTGTGCAGGCTGCTCCAAAGAACACTGTGGTCCCTCAGCATATTCTGCCTCAAATTTGGTATCATCTGCACGCTTGCTGAGGTGACACTCCATTCCATCATACAGGTTGTTACTTAAAATATTTTGGTACCCCTACCATCCATGATGGGCTCCATTAATTACTGTCCACAAGAGTGAGTTTGGACCACAGAACACAACTATTTGAGCCTGGCAACCCAGTCCATTTGCCACTCACATTATGGTCTACTTGTCCAGCCCATACCTCAACAAATTCTGAGAATAAGACTGTGGAAGACTGCCTTGCTAAACTCAAAGCATGCAATATGCATTGCCCTCCCCTTATTCATAGCACCAGTCACTTTGTGATAAAAAGCAAAGAAGCTGATTAGCCCTTGGTAAACTCATGCTGGCTGCTCCAAATCACCTTCTTTCATGGGTTTAGAAATGGGCTTCTGAGAGGATTTCCTGCACAGCCTTCCCAAGAATTGAAATAAGACTGATTGGCCTCTAGTTCACTGGCTCTTTCTTCTTGCTTTTCTTGAAGATGGGTGTGACATTTGCCCTTTTCCAATAACCAGAAACCTCTCTCAGTTGTCATGACCTTTCAAAGATGATAGAGTGGCCTAAAAATTAGATCAGGCAGCTTGTTCAACCCCTTTGCAGGGGGCATCCCATCTGTTCCCTGGGACTTGCATATTTTCAGGTGAGTTAAGATGTGCTGTGGCTGGTCAAGGTCTGTTATGTTCTAAAGTAAAAGGACTTCAAGCTCCAGGCAATGAGAGGTGTGGATTTATGGGTGGAGGAGAAAGGAAGCCAACAACTCACTTTTCGCTTTGGTTCCTTCAAATGCACTGCTATTTAATGCAATTACAATACTGGCTGCATCAATGGACTCTTTTCACAGAGCACAGACAAGTTAGTTATGAGAGCTCCTGAAATGTGTAAATGGGCATTAGTAAAAAGTCAGCTTTCTGACACACTGTCAAGGTCAGCCATTTTGCATTTGGCTCACGTCATATTCTCATTGAGAAAACAATCCTGATCATTACATGGCACAGAAGAGCTGTGTGAAGCAAATGTGTTATCAGATTCTGTCCACCAGAGGTAAAGTGAGCTCTGCCCTGTAGATCATTTGCTACATGGATGGACTGCTGATGAAAGGTTGCCTTAAGATCAGCCTTCTGGAGCATATAGGCTGGAATTCTCCAAAGTCCACATGAAAGACATGAAAATATCACTAAATACCATGCTCATACTTTCTGAGACATCTGTTGACCAGATCTTCCATCTCATCTGAGATAGCCTGTTGGACATTGCACAATACAACAGACACGAAACACTACTGCCATCAGTTGCCTCTGAATATCTTTGGCAATATGTGGGAGCTGATAAGAATACAAGAAGATACCAATAATTGTTCAAATGAAAAGATTACTGTGCATGTTATTGTGGGCAAGAAAAAGGCCCTTCCTCCAGTTCAATCACATGAAATCCATTTTCATATGATATGTTGCCAAACGTCCTAAAAATATACCATTACTCAGTATGCATAAGTGAAGCAAACAGATGATCTTTGGCAAAAAAGTTTTCCCCATGCTGTTTTGCAGCATCACCTTCCAGAGACCACTGGGTACACTGAATTTATAATGAAGATATTCAACAGTAAGTTAATGAAGACTGATGTCTAGTGACTTACTGCATTGGGATATTTGCAAATGGTTGAAATAGGTTTTAAGTAGGTGCTTGCACACTAGTGGTTTTGTATAATGATAGATAATACTGAATAAAATAAGTAAGACTGAAATCTACATAATATTGGTATTAAAAAACCCATAAACAATGACTACAACACAAAAGGCCGGACTATTCCAAAAACTTTTGGACAAGATTTTGTATATTTTTATTGGTTTGGAATAAGGAAAGGTTTTTCTACCCTTCTCTCTCATTTCATTCACCTTATCCAACAGTGAAATCTGCAGTACAAAATGGTGACCAGGTATTTTTCTCTTCTTTCACACCCTAGCATATGGGATCTTAGCACAGCGATATGGACTCCTCCCTACACACTTGTTTGAGGTCTATCGGCCACTGATATCATGTGTCATTATTTGGCTCTACTTCAACACTTTGCTGTAAAACACGGAGGTGAGAAAGAAGGAAATAGGAAGTACAGACTGTTCCAAGTCTTCTGTTGCTTGCCGCTGAAGAAGCGGAAGGTCCGTGTGATTTGGTATTGCCCAACTGCAGAGGATGGAACAGTTAAAGACACAGGGAACCAGGCAACCTAGTACTGAGGATGGCTAGTCTGGGCTAGGCAGAGCAGAGTGCAAACCCGTTATAGTGAAGTCACACACTTCTCACTACCAAATTCTTCAGCAGAGACAATGCTTGAAAAAAAGAGAAAAAATATGACAAATATTTCAGGGTATAATTCTAGTTACAGGCATCACTCTTGAACACTGAAATGCCCGCTCGCTGAACAAAGTGTATCCTTCATGAGTATACGCATTGTCAATTTATCCCATACACTGCTCTGTAGAAAACAGATCCTCTTCTATCACAAGAAGCTAAGGGCTTGAGTAACTTTTTTTTACATCAGTTCAGCCTTTGAGCCTGCTGGGCAAATTAAAATGTCAGCTCATGGTTCTCCTTTCATGATCTGAACTTAAACACTGTATCTGAGATTTGCTGCCTAAAAACCTTGTTTTATTTTTTTCCTAATAAACTCAATTACAACTTGAAAAAGAAAAAAAAAAGAAAAGAAGAAATGTGTAGCAACACCAGAGGGTGATAAAGTACAAGCCTCTCTAAAATGAGCTGGCCTTCTTTTCTTGACTTCCCCCTCCCTTTTTCCCCTGGCCTCCGCAGCACCTGCCCAATTTCCTTGCTGACAGACCGATGGAACAAAACAGCCCATGTAGGTTTCAGTTCAGCAATTAAAAAAAAAAAAAATTAAAAAATCACAGGATTATTTGGGCCAAACAGTGAAACAAGAACGGCTCAATTGAATTACTGTATATAAGACTCTGGCCTACTGCTGAATAATTCAAAACAGGATATTTTCCTTCTTTAATATATGAACAGATACTTCCTTCCTGTGTGAAGAAATAAATCCTTCAACTTTCTGCTTTTTATTATTTCAGAAAGAAGCCAGGGATCAGAGAACAACAACTAATGAGACTGTTCTTTTTTGTATATATATTTCAAATTAAAATGAAAAAAATACTAAAATTTAAGCCAGATCTCTATGTTTACACACACATATTTCCTGTCTACCAAGTGATTCCTGCAACTCCTGCCTCAATCATTTTGCATGCTCTTGCAGTAAGACAGTAATTCTGAAAGTGTATGTTAAAATAGGTGCTGAAAAGGAGAAAAAAACCTAACATTACTCCAAGTCATCGAGTCATTGGTAATAATTCCATACAAAGCCCAACTATATTCTAAGGAGTCGGGGGGACAACAAAAGAAGGCTGATACTCAGATGACTGAAGACTGATCATCTGTAAACTGCACTGCTCCAGCTAACAACAGATTTGATTTCATAACTCTTTATGAGCCATACAAAGGTGAACATAAATAAGATCTAATCCTGCCAGCAGCAGGGCTATAGCATCAATCTCCTTTGCAAAATTAAGAGTGAAATATTGACAAATGGCTCTTGCAAAGATGCAGCAGCTGAATAAGCACATTCAGAGACAAGGGTTCATGGAAAAAAACTTCAGTCATACCCTCTTAGGTCTCAAATGGCCAGTTTGCTTTACCTGAAGCTACTAAAAAAAAAAAAAAAAAAAAAAAAACAAAATTTTTCCTCCAAAAGAAATAAAAAAAAAAAAAAAAAAAAAAAAGCCAATGAATGTGAACAATCAGAGAAATCAGTGTTCCAGACAAATACATAGGTAAGTCATCAAGTGCTCCAGGCAATATATAGGTAAGTCTTCAACAACTGCCTTACTATGCATACTGAGTCTAGAATTTCCCATGTGGACTGTCTTTTCAGGTTAAAAGATAAAACTGGTTTAGAGATTCCTTTCCTTGCTTACTGAATGACAATATCGATCATGTAGACATTTTTATTTTTTACTAATTATCACTAAATTCAGTTTGGAACGTGATGTTATACGTCAGATTCCTTTGGAGTCTGCTTTTATTTCATAGAAATGGAAACTGCTGAGCCAATTTCAATCTCTTGAAACTCAAAGGACATTACTATCTCTATATAACTTGTACAAATGACTAGCAATAATTTCTGGATTTTGTGCATCACATACCTTCTAAAAGTAGAGTTTTTTTCTGATTTAACTCTACTTATCTTCATAATTTATTACTATATTCAGACTCATGAGCTTTTATAGCACTTTACTTGTAAGACAAAGAAGAGCTAATAAGTCTGCTTGACCTCTGTTTTTGAGGGTGTGTTCTTTTTACTGGAATACTGCAACACTGAGTCTCAGCTATATTTTTGATACTTTCAGCAATGTTGTTCTCATTCCGTCATGAAAGTGAACAAAATACACACTCAAATATTGTTGGCATTATAATGTTACTGAAATACTAAAAAACTAAACATTTTAGAATAGAAGCAGCTGTTTCCTTATTCTCATTTGAGTGTCCTTTAACTGTAGAAATATATGAGGTTCTGCAGTGGGTGTGACATTAATAGCACAGTAACTACCAGAGCATCTTGAAATTATGGTTGAACTTAATGATCTTAAAGGTCTCTTCCAAACAAAACAATTGTATGAAAGAGCAGGAAGTAATTAATCCATGACAAATACACTTAAATAAGCTATATATATGGAAAAGTTTATTTCTTGACATCCAACATGTTAATTTTAGCCCTGACAGTCCTTTCAGTTTCTTTTATTTACAACACAAACAATTGTTTAAGACGAAGAATATTTTATACATGATTTTTTTTTATGCTAATGAGTGTACTTACTTCAAAAAATGCAAAATCATCTACATTTATTTCTTCATAGTCATCCTCCACTTCATCACTTTTAACAGCTGCAAGAGCACTGGCCAGTTTCTTTCGCAAAAGAAAACCCTTCCAAAATGCCTAAACAAAAAATTTTAAGCATGTTATACAAAGCCATAGATCAAACCCAAATCCAGATTCTCTATGTTATCCCATTAGAAAGATAAAACATCTTGGGCCTTGGTTTAATAGCTCAATGATCTGTTTTTTGAACTTTATGTGACATTTAAAACTACAAGACAAATTAAATGCCAGCATATGTCTAAAGCTTAGAGTACTCAGGAGGCTCTCCACAAGTAAGCAGAAAGGAATCCTGCAACTCCCTCAACTACAAACCTGGGTCAACTAATTAATTATTTGACAATTCCTTCAGGGACTATTAAGAACTGAAAGGAAAGGCTACGTAAGAAAAAGCTGAGTGTCAACTTTCAAATTACCGAGAATAAAAATACACTTGTACTAAATGTCTTATAGTTTACAAGTAGCAATACTTGGAGACACCTCATGCAATTGACCTAGGTCAGTTACTCTTCCTTAACTAAGATCTTTATTAAAAAAAATATTGCCAGTAGGCATAATCATATATAAGAAAAAGGAGCACATTAGGAATTGAATGGTAGAAAAAGAGGAAGGCTGTGAAGAAACACATGCCAAGAATCAGATCCAGGAAAACACTTCAGAGATGTAATTAAGAAAACTAAATTCAGGACAGCATTTTTCCCCCAAATCAGTGTTTGACATAATTAGATTTCAAGTTGTACTAAGCCTTTAAAATATCATGCAAAAAAATTTGCACTGTCCTTAAAGATGTTGTCCACCTTTAATGACTTTGCAATGAAGGCACTAAAATAGGAAGGCTAAATATCATATTCTGGCTTAACATTTAGCTCATTAATTTTTAGGAAATTATTCTCTAACTGCATAACATTGAAAATGTTACTGTTTCTACACACCCTATTCCAGATTATTAAACATTTAAAATATATTAGGACTGTTTTCTTATAATTTAATTGCTGTTATTTTCCTACAGATCTTCATAACCTTCCAAATAAAATATCCTGATATTACTGAGTGATCAAAGGATAAAAAATTTCATTCAACAATTACAATTAATTTTTTTACAAATGCAATGGAGAAAAGCAATCCCAATGGTACAAGCAGAAGGATAAACTGTAAGGCAGCTAGTGACACAAAACTATGAAAGCATCAGGTCAGTGCTCACTCATGACCAAGAAGAATCATAGAATCATAAAATCATTTAGGTTGGAAAGGACCTCCGAGATCATCAAGTCCAACCGCCGAGCCACCAGGGCTCCAAAGTCCACGTTAGTAGATTTTAAGAAAGTGAAAACTTCCTTACTGTAGAGATTTGTGATATATCTGCCTATGGAGTACTGTCCTATTCAATTTGCTAAAACAGATTATGAAAGAATGAGGTAAAGGTCCAGAGAGGGATAAAAAATGTACAGAGGAATGTGAAAAGAGACTAAAAGGATTAAACAAATTTACAAATGAGTCAATCTAAGGATGGATAAATAAGAGAGATCTAAAACTCCATAAATTGCACAGAAGATAAATACTGCAAGACTAATTTCGTACTAACTTTGGAAATTATCAGGTCTGAAACCATCAAAAGGAAGCACATTTTAATCACTGCATAAATTTGTGAAACTCATCACTTTATAGTAGAGGTCCAACAAGCAAGTCAGTTCAAAAATGGATTAAATAATTTTTATACTGTGAATCTGTGAATATACTAACTAATGAAAAAAATTAGTACAACTTCCCAGCTAAGTGACTACTGTATTATGATTCTGTACTTGTCTTACTTCTTAGTATGCACACTTACTAAACATTTTGCTACTGCCCATTTGTTAAATGGATACTAATGAGTTACCTGGATTTTCAGTCTGAAAATGGCACTTAGGCCACTAGATCACTTTGGCATTGTCAGTGTTGTTTGGCATTTTTATAGAAGAAAGACTCACAATATTGAATGTTTTTAATTTAACCGGAAATCTGAAATCGATGCAGGGTCCGTCTGCTTAAAACAAAAGCCCTGGCAGGTAGGTACAACATCTGGATAGCAAACTAAACAGAGCCAAGGCACGGACATAGCAATCCATTCTGTTTAACCATTGGCTCAGGATCTACCAGAGGACAGCCTAGGCCAAGGTCTGTTCCAATTGGCAGTATTGCCAAGTCAATCCTGGTTTGTGGAGATGGGAAAAGAAGGGAAGGGATGGATATATAGAAGAGATGGGAAAAGTGGCAAGTTGTATAGGTATCAGGTATGATGTGTCAGTTATGCAGTATCTATCAGTTTAATAGCATAGACATACCCCAGTAAGAACTTGGTCACAATATGTCTTAAACATAATATTAGAATTAAATCAAGCAAAACTAATTCAGATAAATACTTGGTAAAAAAGGTAAAATATTTTTATGCTTCTATAGAACTTTTTCGTAAAGAAGGCTCTCTTTTAGAAACATCAAACTTACGCTGATTAAATCAAAAAAAGGTTTAATTAGGGAAGTATTAATACAATAATAAACAAAAATAGTGAGAAATAATAAATAAAAATAGAGAGAAGATGACAAATACACAAAACTAGTAAGATTTTTTTCTTAAGTTTGAAAAATAAGTGAAGGGAATACCATAAACCAACCTGGATTAGTGTGGCAGCTTCATGCTTCTGTCTCACAGCCTCTGTAAACCGATGCTCCTCCGTGTTGGCAGGGTCAGTTTTCCTCCTGGCACAGCACTGCCGCCAACGGGACTGGATCACCGACGCTGCCACAGGCAGCCTCCTAGAGATAGCAACACCTTTATGAGTGACATAGCCTCACCAGTACAACTGGATTTTCATAGCTACCAAACTATAATGATAAGACGTAGCACTATGCATCAAGAGAAATAGAAGGCTCTGCTATTAAACTCTAAGAAATTACAATCCAAACGTGATATATGTGTTCAGAAACACTGGAGGATATTCACATCACATAACTTTGGAAATACAATTATCTAAAAGCACTAATCTTCACTGGGCTCTGTTCCCTGTATATTCACCGGAGAGGAAGAGTCCTCAACGGAAGGACTAGGAACAGAAGTGGTTCAACAATGTCTGAATAAACTATTGGAGGGTTCCACTTACTCCATTGTCCATGTTAGAAAAAACAAAACAAAACAAAACAAAACAAAACACCACAGAACAAAACCAACACGCTGAAGGGCGCTAAATGTTGAAACCTGAATAAGGCAAATATCTCCAGTGGAGTAGGCAGGAAAAACAGAAAGTGCAATTTCATCTTTTGCCTGCTTTTACCCTTTTACCCTTGTATATTTTCAAGTTTACTCACGGTTTAACAAGCACTGATTACAGTCTATTTATATTTGTTCAGTAATTGAGCTTTCTAAATGTACGTTCAATTAATTTATACTGATTGAAAAAAAAGGTTAATGGAAGATCTGCATTATGACTTTACTATCTTGGAATCCATTTCTCCACAACATTCTCATTTCAATTGGACAGTGGGTTTAAGAAAAGACATCTAAATTTCCCCTAATCTTTATTTTACTCCTTGTGCACCTATTTAATTAGAGGAGTACTTTTACAGAAATAAAAGTACGCTTCAGATGTTAAGCCAGAATTCTTTTTTCCTAAAATGTGTTTAAGTTTACCAACTCTAAAAACATGGTTTACTTATAAGGTTTTAATCTATAAAAAGCAGCAGCTGAGTTAGAAAATAAATAAAACCCCCAACCTCTACTGATTTACATTTTGCGTTGAAATCTGCCCAACAACAGATTTACAGAATGCTTTTAAAAATAAAAACTCTAAATGAACTATTTCAAAAAGATTTTGCTAAAGCATTCATCTTCCATAATAGACAACCATACTCTTACTTTCAACTTCTTGAGAGGCAACGATGAACTCTATGGTTTTCCTGAATCATAAATTTTATGAAAAAATATTAGTTAAGTACCTACTAAACACTACTGCTCATTTGCCCTAAGTCTGAACAGTATGAAGAAACACACCTTCACTGCTTGCTCTTCATTGTGCTCTCGAGACATGCATTTTTGAAACTGAGTTCTTAAGAAATCTGAATTTTTGCACCTCTAGGGCAAAAATTTCAGCTTCTGTTTTCCCTGACTAACCACACAAACCAGCAGCAAATGCATTCCAAAGAGGTAATAAACCAGTCTGTTTCATGCGAGAGAATATTTCGGGGCATAGAGAAGTTGAACTGGCCCCTCACCCTTGCCTCTACTTTATGAAGCAGGTAGAGGCATGTTGGAGGAGTACCAAGGGCATGCCAGGCTCTAAGCTCTTCAGTCATCACAACAGCAGGAGACCGGCCTAAGGTCAAGGGAGTAGGATTGTAGATTTAAGTAACTTTTCCCTCTTGCCTTCTATCATGATTCTGACTCCAAACTCTACACAAATGAATCTTAAGTGCCTAATGAATAGTATAGCAAAAAGCCTTATGTTAGCTTGTAGTTTAAACTGCCCTCAAATTCCTGCAAACCATCCAGCATTGTCATCTGTAACATTGTATGTATCATTGAATTGATGTCATAAATTTATTACAAAAGAAAGAAGGAAAAGGTAGGAGACCAAAAGAAAGTTTTCAAATTCTTTTACTACACAGTATCGTTAAGTTACTTTAAGTACACATCTATCTACATTCTACTCTATCAAAACGACAGAATACCACAAAAGATTGCTGTTAATACGGAAGTTTAGTGCACATAACCTTAAAATAACTCTCTACTGTCTAATAATGAGCTTAAAAAAACTCTTTTCTTACTACAAGTTCTGTGTTTCTGTTTTAAACAAGAAATCCTCACTTTTATTGCCTATCCATATAATCTATTTGAAAGCAATCTGGCATCTGTCTTACCTTCCCATATCATTCTCAAAATGTTGAGGAACTCTCCATGTATTACTTGCTAATATCACTGACTGTTGCAGTGAGAGTTGGGATGACATGTTATTGTTGTCTTTGCTCTCCCCACTGTAATTAATACAAGATTCAGTGCTCTTCTGCTTCACTCTCTGATCTTCTTTATTTTCCTTTTGGTGCACAGGTATGGAGGAGTTAATGAGTGTGGCCTGGATATGGCCAGTAGTAATCCATCTTTTGGAAGGATCCAACAAGACCTGTTTATTTTCTGTCGCACCCGTGATAAAGAGGTTATTTTCCTGTAGGCAGCCAGTGGATGTTTGCTTTAAATGATTTTGCAGTGCTCCTGGTCCATCTCTGTCAGTAATGTTTAGCTCACCGTACTCATGTGCGTATCGATGTTTAAGACTAAGTTTCATCCACTGATTAAAATACCAGCATTGTCCCTGTGCAGAATCAGTGGAAGAGCTAATTCTGAAAAAAAAAAAAGACAAAAATGGTTTCACATGTATTTTAAATTGCAAAAATTCTTAAAAAAATATATATATGTTCCTTCTATTATTTTCTAAACTACCTTGTATTTTCAAGTATCCTTACATTTCCATGTTCTAGCAGTGAAGAGGCATTATTTTAATTGAAAACCAGTTTCAGTATTTATAGATCTTAACTGCATTTTTCTTCTTCTGGCAGTATTTAAAATATACCCACATATATTAGATTGCTTATTTTACACTGGCATTATTTAAAAAAAAGTTTCAGCCTGTTTGAAATAGGCAGTAGAGCATGCGTTTCATTATCACTTTTCTGTGTGGTGAGAGGCATAGGAAGCCAAAAATTTTACATGATTTGAGATAATTTTTTTTATACATCTTGTAATAGCCTTAATAATCTAATTTTATCTGGAAACTATGAAAGCTAATATAAAAATAACAGTAAGTTTAAAATTTAGATTAGAACTACAGCCACAAAACCCCAAAAACCCACAATGCCTAGAGAGAATCTGGGAAAACAACCTTTTAAGTATAGATGTTTTTATCAAGATAAGGGAATGGGCTAGACTGAAGCAACATTAATCTACAAAGTGTGGTTCTCATTAGTCCTTCATGCTACACTATCTAAATTACAAAGATGAGTAAGGGCAAATATGAACTAATTGTTACAGATTCAGAAAGCTGCCTGTATTTGGACAGTGTTTGTCTCTTGTACATAGGTAGCAGGTACTTCTGAAATCATGAAAACATTTCAATTTGACAGCATAGATAGATGCAGAGATCTGTAATCTGGCACTATTTTTGGAGAAGCACAGAGTCAATTCTAGGTCAGCAATCCAAGAGAAAATATAGGAATAACAAGAACAAGATCAATTCTCTTGAGAATCTGGAAAAATCAGGTCCTAAGAGTATAGTTTGAATAACAGAATTTTCCTTTCTGCTCATCATCCTTGAAAGGTGAAGCTTTTGTAATCTTTTACTGTGAAAAGACCTTTTACCTATTTAAATATTTCCTCTAGTGAAGTTCAGCTAAGAACTTTTTAGATTTTTGAGAATGTACAGAACAAGATCTTACAAGAGTCAAAAAGACTCCAACTCTCTCCTAGTGCAACTTCAGTGCTACTGGACAAAGTATGAATGGCTAAACTGGAAGCCAAGTCCATTCAGCCGAATTACACAACTCGCTGTACATTAGCCATACATTTCATTGCCCATTACACAACATGACTCCTGCTCCTGCTAATTCCACAAATATTAATATTTTAAAAAATATTTAAGCCAATCCATATAATTGCTTAAGGACTTAACAAATTCTGTCTCCTACTACACATTAACAGTAGCAATTTATTCAACATGAAATACTTAAAATGTTAGTTAAGTACTGCAGTCAAATGCTTTAAATTATTTAAGAAGATAAATTTGGTACAAGACCATTACCAAAGTTCTACACAACATACTATGGTGAGAAAAAACAAACACCAAAAACCAAAATACCCCCAAATATTCACCTTTTTTCCCCCCTTTGGTTTGTTTTAGTTTTTTGTTTATTTGAGGATGAAAATATTGCAGAGATAGTCAGAATGTTTTACATATTGAGCAAAATAAAATTCTGTACTGAAAGTATATCCTGAGTATACTTGTTCATTCTGAACAAACAGAAACAAAGAAAAACAAAACACTGTAACAATGAACGGAGCAGGATACTTGTGCATCCTTTCCTTGCACACGTACAGGGGCATCCTGAGCAGCTGTTTCACCCTTCCAGTGGCTATGAATGTGACAAGCAGAAATGGGAGAGAAGGCTGAAAGCAAGTGACAACCCAGGTAGGGAGTAACTGTGTGGTCACGGCTCGCGGTACTTTCTCCACAGAAGTTGCTTTTGGGCAGCTTTTCCAAGCAGTGGTTGCAAAATACAGTCTTGTTGCCATGGGCATGCACCCCATCTCCCAGCTGACATATTTTTTGGCAATCCACAGCTATAGTCTGATTTTGTAGGACTTTTAGGCTGCTCTGTGTGGCTCTCCTTTTAGGCAGTCAGATCAGCCCAAGCTTCAAGAAACTACAAAGGGGGCTTTAGTGACATCCCAGAGAATTATGAGCAGTGAATTAGCTTGGTAACTTTATTTGGGTTTCTCCAGCACAGGTGAAGCTACAAAGCACAGACAACAAATACTAAGATGGGGTCTGAATGCTTAGTGGCAGTCAGCTTGGTGGTTCACTTAGGTGAGCAAGGATTTCAGGCGGCTCTGGAGAAAAAACACCTATTCAATAGGTTTGAGTAGAGCTTTCCTATCAATGCACTGCAGCTGTCTCAGTGTCTCAAAAGCACTGCATGCTTGATATCAGAGCCATGCTCCTAAAGATGGCTTACTCAAACCACAGAAAGGAAGCTGCTATAATGGAAAGTGTGCTGGACCGACTTACATCTTTAATGGAAAAAAAACACATAGGAGAAAAGAGAAAAGACAAAGTAAGAAATATGACAGTATTAAGACTTTTGATACCACAATATTTCCTTTTCAGTTAATGTAAATTAGCTGATTGCCTGTCAGACCTTTTTTTGGTATTATAGGTCAAGAGTCTGCCCACGTGAACTCTTCTGCATTTGCTTCTTGGTTAAGATACAACCAAGGTTTTGAGCATAAATTGGCATCTAGACAAAACAAGAAATGGGATTATCCCGATGGAAGCACCAGTACCCCGACTGCCTGTCTGCTTCACATGTAATGAAATGCAGATGAACGTGGCAGTCCTGCTACAGCAAAGTTTTTATGGCTTCCAGCTTTGACCAGCACATTCCCTCATGTTCAATGGCTACTCACAGCTTTATTTTGATCTTAACAAGTGAAAGTAATTTACACTGTATGTAAATTTTAGCACAGCCACAAAGGATACACTGCTTTTACAGTGGGAGAGAGGTATAATAAGCCAGAAGAGGAAGGGATGGATCTTTCATAGCAATCTACAGATGTGCTAAAATAGTGGCTCTCATAGTACCTAAAGACCAAGACATTTCACAAAGAAACCATAAGAACAGAAAGCTACCTGTAGCTTTCTTACCAAAAAGATACCTCTCAACTTTGAAGAAAGAGAAAGCTTTTCAACCAGAGTTTAATGTATTTGGAAATTCAAGTCAGGCATTTATTAATGACTACTATAACTGGTCCTAACATCAGTCAACCAGGAGTATCCATCACTGTCTTCTTGGCATATTTAGACCAAACCCTGCTTAGTTTCACTAACACACACATGCAGCATTTGGAGGTAAGTAGAGGTGGGGAGAAGCAAACCTCCACCAATACCACCTAGGACCCACGCACAAGTTGATTTAACTAGATATGGAAAAGGACAAGTTTATAATCCTTAAAGGCCTTTCAGAGGAGTTTAAATTAGCCAAAATGTTGCCACTTAGAAAGTTTAATGTGGCAGTGAAAGCTTGCTTACAGAGCTGACACATTTTGCACAGAATTTCCTACGGCACATGCATCTGCAATGACTACCGGGCTATTCAAAGAGCATCATTTTGTGACAATGAGACAGTAAAAAATATATGGAAAAAGTCAGAAAAAAAAAAAAAAAAAAAAAAAACACTCTTGGAGACAAATGGGAGAGTGTACAAACAAGCCCATTCTAATCAGCAATGGCAGTTTTCTCCTGGCTATTGCAGCTAAATCATAAATAATATTCTACCCCTTTGTGTGCTAGTTAAAGTTTTGCTTAATATGTTCTTCCCTTTGTGGCTCTACTGTGATTTTTCATATTTCTGATACATGGAATATTCAAATACTGAGCTTTTTATTGTAATAGTGGGGTAAAATCTAATTTGTCTCCAGGGAAACTTTTATAAGCATCATTCTTAATGTTCAACTGCAGCTTACAAAGTCCCTTACAAACACATGAAAGAGGTCACTGTTACATACTCTCTTCTGCAATATCATTTATGAAATTCCTGTTATTTTCACTGCATTATACATACAATATTTATAATGAACAAGTTCCACTAGCCACATCTGCATATGTGATGACTGAAAGCAAATTACTGCAGCCAAGGTGGTGTATTTTTTTTTTTTGACTATTCATTACAAGATATCTAAAGATTATGTGACAGCATGCATTTATTAGAATAGAGACGTTTCATTTTAAATTATGTTTCATTCTTATGCATGGCAAGAACAGTGAAGTTTCACACAGAAATAGCAGAGACAATTTAAATGGGCAGCAGTGGTGTATGAAACATGGGTTAGGGAAGCAAGCACTGATTACTTTTGGCAGCCTACATACTTGAGGTCACACCTACAGGGGCTCGTAAGTTAGGAAGATGTGAAACAGAAGTTTGCCCTATTGTTGGCCTGTTCTTTAGCAACATCACAATAATTCAGTCAAAGTACTGCAGTAAGTACATATAATAGCTATGCTGTTAAGTCTTACATGCAAACAAGTTGTTTAGAGTTCCTTTTATGAAATGCAGCTTTCAATGGTTTTCAAATCATCCATAAATTGTACTTTTAGTCAAAACAACCCATAGACTGCTTTAACACAGAAGAAATTAATTTTAAGACTAAATTTCATACAAGATGCTTCAAACACGTCAAAGTTACCTATTTAAAAGATTGTGAATGAACTCTCAAAACCTTAAAAAATCCAAAACTCCCTGGCCATGCCCAAACTATACATAATTTCTTCTTCCCATTATTGTTTTTCTCAAACATCTCTAAGGTCTTTCAAACAAAACTTACACAGAACCATAGAACGATTCTCAACTGAATGAACCTCAGGAGGTCTCTAGTCCAATCTCCTGCTTCAAAGCTGTGTTAGCTCTGAGATCAGACCAGGTTGCTCAGAGATTTATCATCAGGTCTTGAAAACTCCCAAGAACAGGGACTGCACAACCTCTCTGATGTTGCACTTCATCACTACACTAACAATTAAAAGGTTTGCATCTCTAAGTTGTGTCTTTATTTTCACCCCTCTTCCTCCTCTCTATCCTTGACTTATTAAATTGTCTTTATCTCTCAGTCAATTTTTTTCTTATTATTTATGTGGTTTTTTTTTTTTGGTTTGGTTTGGTTTTTTGTTTTGGTTTGGTTTGGGTTTTTTTTCCCCCTTTCTGGTTTTACTGGTTTTATAATTTGCTTTCCCATCCTGCTAGGGGAGTAATGAGCAAGCAGCTTGTGAGTGCTGAGTTACTGGCTGGAATCAACTCACCACACAAGTCTGATTTTCTCTTCTTTCAGCTTAGGTCCTTGTTGCTCATCCTCCTGTCATGCACCACTGCAAACAGCCTGGCTCTGCCTTCTTGCATGTGCTTGAAGCCCTGACCAAACTTGTTCCAGTATATCAATGTCTTTTACATACTGGTGACCCAGAATATAGGGCACAGTATTCTAGATGTGAGCTAGTAAGGGCTGAAGACACTGAAATAATAACTTCTGTCAACCAACTGGCTATGTTCCTGTAGATATATCCCAGGATGTTCTTAACTTTCTTTGATACCAGGGCACACTGCTGGATCACACTCAGTTTCTTATCTACCCTCAGTTTCTTATCTACCCAGATAAAGGACCCAGGCCATTTTCATCAGAGATAGTTCTCAGCCAGCACTGTTGCAAAGGGACACTCCTTCTTAGGTAAAGAACTTTGCACTTGTCTTCACTGAATTCACAAGGCTCCTGTTGGCCTCCCTCCCCAGGTTGCCAAGCCTGCCCTTCTGACTGGTAGCCCTGCCTTCAGGCATGCAAATAATTTCCTCCAAATTGTTGTAATCTGCAAGCATGATAAGTGTGCCCTCCATCTCCTGCTCTAAGTCTTTAATACAGATGCTAGAAGGACTAGTCAGTCTCTGGGAAATAGTATGAGTCAACAGTTAATGGACTGTCTGAGCCTGGCTACTCAACAAATCTCTTCTTACCTATCTGTCCATTCATGTGGACCACGATTAAGTAAACTACTGCATTCTGTGAATAACATCTCCCCCCCTACATACATTTTTTACCACTTTGCAGAAATGCCTGTGAATGTTAGGTCCTCAGATTCTACTACAGCTCTCTCACAAGCCATATGCTAATTGCAGATCAGCATTTTTTTCTGCAAAAGATACTGATGAAACAGGCCTTAAATCTCAGATTAAGAAAATTTTCTCTACCATAAAGGAGGAGTACTTTTTTTTGCCTCTCCTTTTTTCCTTAAAAAAACCCCAAACAACTCACTATTTCAAAATGGCAACTAGATTAGGAAGTATTAACTTCTCACCTGCAAAACAGAAGCCAAAAAACACAGAAGTGGAGAAAACGTATCTTGAGAGAGTTATAGGAGCCACCGAGACATTACATCTGTCACAGAAAACTGCACTGTATAATTTCTCCCAAACTACTTTCAATCTAATTCTTAATACAAACCTCTTTTCAAATAAATCTGTTTTGTGAGCTATGAAGATGCTATTGCAGCCAATAATACATCAATGCAATAACCTGTTAGGTAGGAACAAGACAGCATGGACATACAGGCTTACATGCAAATGCAAAACAGCTAGATGCTGAAAAAATGTGGGTAATTTTCTGGAATCACCTACGTATACAAGGAGAACTTCAAACTAAAGCTTTGTCAAACATCACGTGCTTCACCTGCTCTGGGATAACATTCAATCCCTGGCATGATCAGGGAAACTCTCTCTCCAAACATCAGCAGGCAAGTTGGATATTGAAAGGAATATAAGCTTATTGCTAACTAGAGAGAAAATGAAAAGGAACTAATAAAGAAAAAAACCAAGCAGTTACCAAGTGTGAACACATGAGAAGCTTGAGTTATTTATATATTGTAAAGTGATGAAAAGATAATATATATGATAAATTACCACTTGCAATGCCTAAGCTGAAGTCAGTGGAAAACTAACCATAGTAATAATGATAACAATAGTTCAGTATGACAAAATCAAAGATCTGTAAACAAAGCCACATTATCCACTACTTTAAGAGAAAAGAGGTCAAATCTTTTGCAATCATTGAGAACACAAATAATTCATACCTGGAAAACAAATGCTTTAGGAAAAAATCACAGCATATTGCTCCAAGAGCCAAACAAAGTTTGATTAAGCTAAAGTTGGATGTCATGTTATGATTACAGCACTTTCAGGATTTAAGCTACCATTCCTGCGTACCACTGTATTATTGTTGTATGAATTTAGAATTTAGTCAACTACCTGAAGGTTCTGAACCACCTGTTTTCTCAAAGTTAAGCAAACATAAGTCAAGGCCCACATATCTTAATATCTGTTTGAAATACTCTTTGCACTGAAATCAATTATTCTAATGTCTTTCTTAACATAATCCATTTTCCAGCAAAACATTAAGTCAAATTTATACAACACCAAGAACTGCACTAACAGTACATGACGTGCCTGAACACTATTTATATTCACATATATACATACCCCTGTTCAGCAGCCTTTTTTTTCAATAGAGCATTTTCATCAATTTGAATTTGACAAAGTTCCAGAAAAGTTCCCAATTCTGATCCTTTGATTCTTTCAGTTGTCGCTGAACTATGATAATTTAAGATCTCAACATCAAGAAACTGTAAACGAGGAAGGACCTTACAGAAGGAAGGCCTTAGGGAAAAAAAAAGTCATAATTAGTTTCACAAAAAACATCCTAATACTAAACCTGCTACTATCCTAATAATAAACCTGTATTATTGATACAATATTGTAACACAACAAAACATGATGATGGTTCTCTAAGTATTTGCATACACTTGTGTTTACTTCATATGTTAATATACTAACTAAAACTTTCATTAATAAACCATAGAACTTTAGCAAGATTTTTTAATACTTTGCTGGTATGAAGACCACTGCTGAAATACTGACCTGAGGGAGTTCAGTGGTAACATTCTCAATTCACTAGAGCATTTTACGTAGCTAAACAATAACAGGAACAACTGACACACAGGCACCTGTAATGCATTTGATTACCTGGCAGCAACAGCAAACTAAGTCATAGGATTAAGACACAGCACTGATTTTGTTCAGACCTTGAAAGATTTAGATTTAAAAATGGCACAGAATACTAAAAAATGTCAGTCTTAGCCCCTTTACCATTTGTGTACATCACATAAAACAACATGATACTCAGCATGACCGCCAGGAAAAAAAAGGAAATGCTTTTGAACTACTGAATTTAAGTCAAAGGGATGACAGTTTTCATGCTATGGAAAGGACAGCTGAAGCCACTGATGTAAGTCAAAGTATGTATGAGAAATTTTTCTACTGTTTAAAAAAAAATAGTGTAATCAATGTTCTCTCTCTTAGGTTGCTATGAAACATAATCTAGTACTGCAACCTTGTTTCTTATATCAGAACAAATTTTTTGGAAGTTCCAAGAGTGTAAAATTGTTTAAATCCATACATCAATACTTAATATTTTAAGTTAATTTTAAGTAGCACTTAAGAACTCTTGAAAGAATACTTACTTTAGGCTGAAAGTCCCCCTACTACTAAAAAAGATCTAATTTTCAAAATTTTAGAACTCCCTGCCTGTTCCCTGTGAAGGTAAAAGACTATTATTAAGCTCAGACAATATAGAGTAAGTTTAAAATCAGAGAAAGTTTCTATGACTAAGTTAGAATGTTCTGAAACGTAGCCCAATAGAACAAAATATTGTTTTGCAAATATAAAACTTCTTTTCTCTGCTGCCTATTGATGTAAGACTAAAACTGTCTGAAATACATTTGGAATAAAATGATGGGTTTATACAGGTAGTCTCTGAACACTTACAGAGAAATTACCAGAGCTGATGTGGAATAGTCATTCATCAAAAAACTGTCATATCAAAGTTGATTGATGCTGGAAGTATTGTGTCTTGGAGCAATGAGATCTCAACGCTAGTTTTTCCAGCTGGGTTTCTCCTAGTGAAGGGCTGAGTCAATATTTCATTTAGTGAAAACTTCCTGGTGAATATTCTGTCACTTAAGAGGCTCTATTAATCATTACAGCATTGAAACACATTCCCCTAGGAGTGTTCATACTGATCCGAGGGTTTAATTTTTAAAAAGCAATTTCTTACTACTTCGCCTTTGTTGGTGTTATCGCTGGCTGGACATGAAAGTACAAAAGCGATTGGGAAATTTTACAACTAATTCCTTTGTTGGTATCAAGGGGTTATGTAAAGTTCACTGGAACATATTGCCTGAAGTTATGGTCAATGCTGTATTCAGCAAATCCATATTTTATAGTATTCCATACTTTAAATCCTTTAGACAAATGAATCTCTTGTCTAATCATAAAAGCTCTATTGGGTCAGGCAATCTAAAGTGCCAGTTCTTATAGTTAAATAGGAATTGAGAAACCTTTCCCCTTCCAGGTTACAAGTGAAATAGCAGTTAGTTCTGTAAAGTAGTTGGAATTACAACAATGCAAATAGGAATTGAAAATATTGGCACAGTCACTGAATTTTATTCAGAAAATTACCTGCAGTAGTCACGGGAGTGTAAATGTCTGCTCATTAAAAAACAAACCAACCAACCAAGAACATATTTGTACAGCTATCTTTTAAACTACTTAAACATTTCCAACAATAAGTTTTGGTTTTGGTTTTGTTTTTTTTCCCTCCCACTGGAATACTAATAAGGAATTTGCATAAAAATCTTCTAGTGGAAGATACAAATGTAAGTGTGGATTTGGTTCTGCTCTTAATACAACATAATCCAAAAGAGACATACCCCTAACTAATGTTGTTATAGTAGTCAATCTAATATACTAAATTCAAATACAATTTATCTAAACACATTCTTGTGTAACATTGCAGTGTAAACCCTCACCTTTAACTGAAATTATAAAAGGAAAAACTTTTCAAAAAATAAAAATTGTAGTTTTCTAATAATATAATCTGTTGTCTGTTTTAATTACACCCAAAATGAAAGTCTAACTGTTGGGTCTCATTACTTTCCTCACATAGTTTATTATGTCAACGCTTTCCTCAGTAGAGGCTTGATTTCCTTAGCTGAAAGAATTGGTAATGATTTAAATTTTTAGTGATTAAACTCTTCTTTGAACACTTAGTGGCATTATAGTAAAAGTTCACTAAAGCATACTTCGTCCTTTCAACATATACATTCAGGAACATCACTTAAAAATTTAAAATGCCATTTCTAACGTGGCATTCTACTCTTGAAGGCCTATAGACTAGAAAGTATTAATTCTAAGGAAGATGAAAGAACATTTCACATTAAATTAACACTACTGTACTTTTGCTGAGCAATTATCTTAGACTTATTTAAGTCTAGATGGCATTGGCTCATGTACAGAGCTTCAGACCATAGAATTCTCATGAAACCAGAAGACTTCTACTAAAATAAAAAGAAATATACAAATCCCTATCCCTGTACAATTTTATTCATATAGATTACAAATATAATCCTATCACAACTAATCATTTCAGGAATTCTGGTGACTGCATCACATTTCATATGTTGTTTTCTTTTGACCCTATCCAGTCTTTATACAAAAGCACACAACAGTCTCTAGGACCAGCTCTTCAATTTCTGTTCAGATTATTGTTTTGGTATTATGCATCACTGGAGAGCAAACAGTATACCTTTTATACCTGTATCTCTTTCATAACCTTAAGAGCTATTAATTCTTGGTGCAAAGATTAGAAATTCTGAGAACAAGAAAAAAGTCTACGCTTCAACTACTAAGGAAAACCCAACTATTCATTCCAACCTTTCCTATATATTTTTCCTTAAAAGATGCTAAAACAAGGATTCCTTGAGACATTTATTGTAGACACTTCCCTTTCTCCAGCTATGTGCAGTGTGAACCTGTCACAGCAGCAAGACTGTAAGCAGTGAATAGATGAAGCAATAGAAGGGAGTAATTAAGGGAAAAAAAAGAACACAGCAATGCAGAAAGAGAAACACTCTAAGAAGCTATGTGATAGTCAGAAACTGATAGTTCTGAGAAGGGCAAATTAGCAGTGTAAGAATATTAATAATCAGAAAAAAATAAAGGTTTTAAACAGTGCAGATGAAAGAGAAGGAGAAAAAAAAAGTTGAGTGAATGGTCATGTCTTGTGTGAAAATTTTAATGAAGGTAAGATAGGGTAATACAAGGTTAGACAAAACCTCAGTCAGAAAGTTAAAATTACCAAAGGTGGTAAAGTTGTCAGTAAAGAGGAACAACAAGAATTCATGCTGAAAGTGATGGTGATCAATGGACAAAGAAACAGATACAAATAAACAGCAAAAAGATGTCCTATATCATCTTTATAATTTCTGTGTTTGCCGAATGAAGTTGTCATAAAGAAAAATACTCACTTAGGATAACAGTTAAAGAGCATAGAGAAACCACTGCCAAAATTTAGCACAAAATGCCTCTTACTGAGGATCCAAGTGCTAGGTCAAACATTAAGATTTTTGTTACAACTACAAACTGGAATTCTTAGAAAATAAAGATCACAGAACTTAATTTTATTTGTTATTTTCATATAGTTCTCTTGCAATTTGTGACAGTGTTCATTCTTATTCCTATGATTTAACCAACATACGTATACCAAGTTTTTGGCTCTTTTTGATTGGTGAGCAAGACTCATATATAAATTGTTGCTGATTTAAATTTTTTGATTTAGTAAATTAATTCATTTTCTTACCTCCAATTCCTTTCCTGGAGAAGAGGATTTCCACTGACTGACAACTCCCTGAGTTTATGACAGCCACTTAGCCATGTAATGACACCTTTAAGGTCTGTATTTTAGTAGTAAAGAAAATATAAATTTGAATGCAGAACCATATTATTTCATATTAAATCTTACATGAAAGGAAAATGTATCAAAATCATGAAGTACTAGGAGCAATTCTGCTACTTATACGGTATAATTATAATTAATATTTGTAACATGTGTTTGGGAAATATTTATCTTTTCCGTATAAATGTCTCATAAATAAATGGGAACAATCAAATTTATATAAATTTATAATTTAATTAAGTTCTTTTTTGGACGGGATTTTATGTTTCCTATAGAACTCACCTGACAAGCAGTTATTTTTGATATCCAGCTTTTCCAAAGATACAAATGAATTTAAAGGCACAAGCTCAGTTAATCTAACAACAAAAAAAGAAGCAATTTTTTTTAATTTCAATTAAATAAAACAGCTGTTCATAAACAGAAAGGCACCCGAATCTTTTATAGTTACGACAATTTACTTATTTACAGAAGAAAAATACTCCAGCTATTTATATAAGATGCTAGAGCTAATTATTGAAATTTTAACTTGAAAGCATTCCTTGGTCTTCTTAGTAGCTCAGCTTTTAATATTTACTCATTAAAGTTTTGTTTTATCAGGCAAATATTTCACCCTGTTTCTTGCACTCACTGCTGAGGATCTGAAGCCTTGTAAAATTTACACAACTCAATTTGGCTTTTCTTTGGTCACCAAACAAAACTAGGAGGAGGTCCCGATTCTAGAGAAGAAAGATCTGCTTTTCCTTCTTCCTCACCCTTCAGTTCTCATTGCTCAAACTTCTTCTCAGTTTGTTTCTCTTCTCCCCTCAGCACATTACTTCCTAGATCCCAAAACTAACATAATTGTTGTCACAATAGTATTGCTTCACAGGTCAAGGCTTCACTGTCCTGTAATGTATTTTTACTGCTTCCTCTGTCACTGTACTTCTGAAAGACAGTGTCACATTGGTGCCTATTATACAGACAGTCACAGAATTGCTCTTCTTGCATATCAGAGATTTTCTTGTGCAATAGAGCAGCAGTAAAGCCACGACAAAATTATTATTTGTATTACTGAAGAGTAAACGTAAGGAAACAGTTGACATTCACCTGTATAAAGGATTTTGGACTGTAGGATGTGTATTATCACTATCAAAACATCAGCATCCAGTGTTACTCAAGTTTTTTTATTTACAGACTTGCACTGGTGCAACCAAGAACTAATGCTGAATGCTTTAGTCCGGTGCCAGACCTTTCATATTAAAAAGTTTATTTTGGTTTACATTAAATATGAAAGAGGGAGGAAAAATTAAAATCAAGATTAAAAAAATCATGATGCAAAAAAAACAACAGTCTTCAACTAAAACTAGAATGTTTATGTATAAGCCCATACTGAATCAACTATCTCTTCAAAAAAAATACACGTTTAGTTTAGGTAACTTGTATCACCCCTGCAAGCACAAGGCTTAATCGTAATGAGAGAAAGGTAACAGCAATGGCATTGTGTGTGGTCACTTTATGACTGCTAATTTTCACGGAAAACAGTGTTTTCTGAAGATTATAGTGCCTTCAAAACCTATAAATCAGAAATCTTATGGTCAGAACCATGACCGTGCAAAAACTCGAAACCTGCGCAGCCAACAAACCTACAACTGGTGAGCCCCAAAAATGCTCATCTGTTGCTGAAATGTGCAACTATGTTGTGTTTTCAGCACAGGCAATACAACTGAAAGAACGATTTAAGTCTGGTACACAAATTTTGGAGCAAAATCTGGTTATAAATTCTTTAATCTTATTGAAAATTTGACGGCATGCAAAACAGAAAAAACCAATCATTTCCATGTTCTGTTGTCAAGTATTTCTATATGACAACAGAACATACTAATAGAAAATTTAGGGAAACAGATACAAAGCCACTTGAGTAATTGTAACTATATTTCTATGTCTTCTCAAACTATATTGTAAAGTTGTCCTGGTTCTATTCCTATTCAGCTCTGCTACCTCCCTGCCAGTTTCCCATGGAATCAAATACATATGAATAAGTATTAATTCTAAAAAGCATTAAGCCTTATATGTAGATATGTACATAGTACTACAAATATCAGCACTTTAGGTTCTCATGACCAGTCAACAGTACATAAATATGTTTAATATTTGTAACAAACATCATTATAGGTATTAGTGGGTAACAGTATGGCTGCAAAGGCTGAAAATCCATGGGTTAGACTAGAGATTCACCTATTCAGAAATACGCAGAAAAAGAAATGTTGTACTTTGGACAAAGGGTAACAGATAACACAGGAATTATTTACAGTGACTGAGTACTCTGGATCTTTACCAGTATATGCTGTGGTGAATTAGAAATTGTCTGCTGGACTATCCCTGCCTGCCATTGGCATTATGTGAGTTAAAACATTTCCCCGTCATTCTATAGCTTTCCCTTTACTGACATTCTTTGTTAATTTTTTTTCCTAAGAAAATTCAAACCAGAAAGACAAAGGACATTACTGAAAACTTAATACTACTTGACCTTGTCACATTAGCCCTGGGCATAACACAGATATAAATTACAAAGAAGACACAAAAGTAAAAAATATTCACAAAAAAGCAAGCTATAGCTTCCTCTTTCTACTCCCATTTAAGGCTGTAGCAGGACAGGACACAGCCACAGAAACTCTATGTCAGAAAACAAGATTTATGAGACTAGAATAGTTGCAGGTATGCAGCAGAGAAAATAAAGATTGCTTTTCTGAACTAGAATAGCAGTTACTGCCCAGGATGGTCCAAATCCTGCTGTGCAGCTGCTTCTCCGCGTTAAAACTGTCACTGATGTTAACGAGAGGTTAGCAGGATGGACAGCAAAATAATTAAGAGTTTATTTATATTAATCTCGATCTTTAAGCAAATCCCACATTTTTTTTTATTCTTTACAAATGAAAGTATTTTACTTCGCAATATCCACTCTATTTATTAGTAGTAATCAAATATATTGTAGGAAATTTGTCAGCCACTTGTTTCTTGAATACTCTAGTAAGCAGTACTTCAACTGTATAGTGCCACATACTTAGAGATAAACTTATCCTAGGCAAAGAATTACTGAAAGTAATCAAAAAAACCTAGACTGGTAAGGATGGGATGGGGAAATCACTTTGCATAAGTACAGCTTTTTCATGACTGATTTATTTCAACATCCAGTGGTAGATTTACTATGACAACTCTGGAAAAGCGGTCAAATTCTCAGAACATGACAGCTGGAAATGACAGCACATTCAGCTCTTACATCTGAGAAATCAGGCTAAAAGAAATATATATATTTAAGTAGGGAGAACAATACATATTAAGAAAGAATTGAGCTAACATTTAGCATGTCCAATTATAAACCTTTAAGGAATAGTATGCATCTAATTGCAAAAATCTGGGAACAACATGTTCACAGAGAATTTCATTTCATGGCCAAAAGAGTTTCCCCCTGCAAAAAAAGGAATTTTTACAGACGACTGGGTTTTTAAAAAAAAAAATAAATTTTTATCTATCACACTTTGGTTACTTGAATGAAAAACAAAACAGTGTAAACAATGAACTTTATCATATTAAACCAGAAAGTGTAAGAGGGATAGATTTGTCTATTTTTAAATTGAGGGAAAAAAAAAGTAATGGCTACCTGAACAGCAGGTTGATTTAGTGTCTTTTAAATGAAAAAGACATTAACAAGTAAGGTACATAACTAAGTGGGAGTGCATGTAAATAGAAATAACACATAAACTCTTAACACATATTAACTATGGATTAATTTTAGTCCTGGGGCAAGGCTTTTCTCTCCTACACCCAAATCTTTATCCACAACAGAAGAAAAAAAGTGCCTTTTTAAAATGAATTTAACAGTTGGGTTTGCCAGCTGCTATAAAATAGAGCCCAGATCTTCATAGTCCCAATTCTGCAGTAACCAAGTCAAGGGGATAATCATCATTGGCTTTGGTCAATTGCACATTGACCAAGTATGTGCTTTGTGTGTGAAAGCCACAATAAAACACTTAATAAAAGCAGCAGTGGTAAAATAGCTGCCATTTTTATATTTGAAGGAGTTAATCACTTCCTGTTATAATTCCTTGTTGCTAGATTACAGGTTTAAAACAGTTTTTGAGTTTCATCTTTGGCAAATATGGTTTATGATACAGACAAAACATTTCAGGAATAAAAAAAAAAACCCAAAAACTGTAAATTAGTGTAAGAATTTTCTTTTCACAGTACTTCACTTTTAGAAAAAAATACAGATTCACAGCATTACCATTATACGGGCTTCCTGCAATCAGTAAAAAGGAAATGGCACTCAGTGCACACTTGAAAAAAATTCACAAAACTGCACTAGCTGTAGGATAAAAGTAAAGAAACAGCTTTTCTTTCAACAGCTTACTCCATTACATTCACTGTTTCTACAGAAAGCCTACTTATGCTATAGCACACACATATGGAGCTGCTTATAAGTGTACATAAAGTGAGTGTAACAGAGCAGGCTACTGAAATGCAAGGAATTTTAAGGCTTTTAATACGCATTTAAGGCTATCTTGTCCTGTTTGTCACAAAGATTTGAGATAAGCTGTAGATACATCAAGGAAAGAAAGGGAATTGTTTGTAGAGGAGGCAGTGTGTTTGTTTACTTTCACAACATCCAGTTTGCTGGTGCAGAAACATGTGCTTCCCCCCAGTTCAGCAGAAGAAACTCAGGGGACCAAACACCACATCTCAGTTTAGCTGATGGAAAACCAGCATAAGCACTATAATGGACATTACAAACTGTATTATCACAGGGTAGGCAAGAGACATAAGGTGCCTCCACATGGCCAGTCCAACACAAGCTAGAACCAGAGGTTGCATTCAAGCTATGCCTGAGACCACGATCCTAAGCTTGTTCTCATCCTAGCAGGCACATGAGGTCTTCAAGCAGTTTTGCAAACTTGTTACTATACACAGCATACCTACACTTAAACGTTAACAAAAACTAAGCTGGAGGAAGAGGAAGAAACTAAAAGAAAATAAAGCCACATTACTCCACATTCCAGAAAAATCTCAACAGGACAAAGTAAACAAAAAAAAAAAAAAAAAAGGCCAAGAACATGAATTAAATCAGAATGTGTGATACAGAATCTAACACTTAACAAATAATGCCCTTCTTCATACAGGCAGGAAACGCTTTCACCAAACTCTCGGAGAATTAATAAAACAGTGCAAAAAACCCTGAAAGCCCAGCAACTGGAAGATTGGATTCTGTACATATAGCTAGGTGTTATATTTACGTCCAAAAGTTTACATGTATACTACTTCATTAGATATGAATTGAAAACAATCTGAGAAGTTATATAAAAGTTATAAATTCTATAAAAATACAGGCTGTATATGTCAAATAACCTTAATTTTCTATGAAGGACATTCCTTATAATAACAGGACTAGGTCTTACAGATCTTTTTGCCCACAGGCTTCCAGCTACAGTTGTAGCTAAACTAAATGTCATGTAGGGTGGGATTCAGCAGTTCAAATGTGGACACCTACATAGGAGCTGGTCATTTTGACACTGTTAATAGTCAATGAAGATGAACAGGCAAATTGTAAGGAATGATTAGTCTCAAAGCAGACAGCTAAAAATGGCAGATGAATCACACTTTAAAGCCATCTCCTCTTCACTAACAGGACAGTAAAGTGGTTAGTTCAGAATGTATATTCTGTATATTGAGTGTAGCAGTACACTCAATTTGGTTAGCCGAGATCAGTTTTGTTCAGAACGAAACAGTCACACTATAGAAAAATAATTAATTTATACTAATCTAAAATTCATTTCACTACTATCATATTGTAAATTATAATAACCGTTCCTTACTTTTTTAGCAGAATGTAATTGAGAAAAAGAGGGTGGGAGTGGGGAAATAAAAAATTTGAATCCTGAATACTAGTGCTACAGATGTAGAGATTAGCTTAGAAAATGAACAGAAAGTGAGTTAAAGTACTTGAGTGAATGATTGCGTTTTGTGCTGCTTGTCTTGATCCTTGGTGTGGGTTTTTTTTGGTTTTTTTTTTTTAAACCTTTCAAACTGAACTGTAAATAAGAGTGAAAAATTAAAGCAAATATATTTGTTTTGGAGGTCATTAATACATGTACGTAAAATAAAGAACATTCTCATTTGCCCTTTTTAACTCTTTAACTCTTCAAAGTCTGTTTTGAATAAGCTAGCTGTGAAATATGAAGTTTGACAGACATACTCTAGAAACACTGCTAAAGAAAGGAAAAAAAAAAAAGAAACACCATGGTTTTAATAATGTCACAATGGTCAAAAATTATTTTCATATAACATGTAATAGAAAAAAATTACTTTTATAGTTAATTTTGTTTCAAATTTTCTTAGGTAAGGTAGTCCATATCATTACTTGTCAACCACATATTTTCAAAGACTATCTGGCAGAGGCAGTGACACTTTAGCCATACTGAGAATACTACTTTTCAGTTAAGTGTTATGTTGGTAAATTCAATAGTTGTTACGTGGAAGAGTGTTTGCTTACCTATTTTGAGACAGCAAAAGACTCTGCAATAGAGGCAACCAATAAAAAGAAAGCATTCCCATAGCAGCAATGTTATTGTCATCCAAATATAGTTCTCTTAGAAGAACATGATTTTCCAGTCTTGGAATCTAAATAGAAACGAGATGGTTATTTAAAATTAATATAAATTAGAGAAGCAACCATGGAATGCTTACCAGATGCTTTTCATAAATCATTACTAAATACAAGCAAGAAACACACTTTGGGTGTCTGTATTGTTTCGTTATTATGTGCGTACCAGTTGCAAGACAAAATTTCTACATTTCAGGTGCTAATAGTCAATATAATTTTATTTTTCTTTAAAGTTAAAAGCCACAGCCTTACTATTTTATTCATGCAGTTATATGCTGCTTGTTGACCATGGTTTCACTTCTTTGGATTCATAAAAGAATCATCGTCAGTAAATATGACTAAGTGTACTGGTAGCAAACTACTTTCCTATTTAACTGCTGCAGCAGGAACTTCAGCCTTTGGAGGATCAGTATATATCAAATCAGCCTGAACTACTACTTATATGTAATGATAATAATATTTTGTTACATCTTAAAAAAAGTCAGTATCATACAATACAAACTGAAGACCAGGTGCTATAAAAAAAGGAGGGAAATATAATGACTATGGGGCAAATTTTTCACAGACTTAGGAGGAAGAAAATACTGCTGGCCATTTGCCTTTGAAAAATCTCCCTCTAATAGGGGAATAAATAGTCTACTGAAGAGCATGGAACATCCAACAGCAAACACAGAGCTCACGATTAACGTTCTGAAAAATATGATGGTTAACAAAGATTCATGCACAACAGCCACTGAATTCTAAGCTCTTACCTCCTGGAGGTTATTGCCTTGTAACTTCAGAATCTGAAGTAGGCCACAATTCTCAATGCCTTCAACTTCTGTCAGATGATTAAAAGAGCAGTCTAGGTGAAGGAGAGTAGGTGTTTCACAAAGACCTTTTGTACTGATTAACTGATTATGGTCCACAATTAATTGTTGAAGATTTTTTAATGACTCCAGACCATCTGAAAATCAAAGATTTTAGCTGAAATCAGCCATAATGAAAGAAAAACCTGATCAGGTACCAGGAAAACTCTGTCAATCTATTTATATTATCTGTATTGATAATTAATATTAGTCCTGTATAACATTTAAAAATAACTACTGTATTTCAACCTTATCTAATATACAGTGCCTACAGGTCACAAATTTTTGATCCTGTTAACTAAGCAGTAACAGTTCATAACCGCTTTAGCACTTCTGTTGGAACAGAACCTTCTTTTAGTGATAAATTATGCTTACTATGTTTTAAGCACTTTATAACCACTACTCAGAACCTATGGGCTCCATGAAATGCTAACAGCCCTCTGAAAATCACCCCTCAGAATGGAAACAGTATTTGTTTGGAAGCTAATTTTCATTATTTATTTTTTTTAAGCTTTTTTTTAAGTTATCAGTGAGAACAAATTGTGCAAAAACTTCGGCCAGCATCTTCTTTATTATTTAAGTGCACCGTAAGTAATTATGAAATAAAATATTTTTAATGAAGAATTTTATAAAGAAAATCTAGCGCTTTTAAGTATAAAGATATGCTTCTATAGCCAATACACTCTCAACAAAATTACTCCTGCCAGCTAGTGTAAAGAGCAAGAATGTGTGTGATCTCCGCCCTAAAAAGGTGCAAAGGAAAAGGTTCCTTTCGTTATCTTTTTCTTCCACAAAACTCCTCCCAAATCATCCTCTTACAATGGCAAAAATCACACTGTCCTTCCGCAGTCTTACATATGCTATGCAATGGTAGTGATGCATCTGACCTGTTACAGGCCCAAGCAGTTTTTTCTCTATCTCTGTAGTAAAACTCCTGTCAAGTTTTAAAACCCTTTACAAAACATATCTAAAATAAGGAATTTCTGAATTTACTTTTCTTTCACGTCTTTTTCACAGGCTTATTTGAAGCAATACTTTGTCTCATCTTTATTTCACACATAACTTCCCAAGTTCTCAAAAGGAAGTTGGGTGAGCTTTACAGAGGTGTCTTTGTGATTGTCCTCTGAGAATAAACTAGATTATGAGACCAGTTTGCACCATAGATTATTGAGAATAGAGAAGAATAAAAATAGAAAATTAACAATAAGGCAAAAATAAGTAAAAAATTAAATGCTAGAACTAGCAGTACATTTTAAAAAAAATCAATTAAATATAGGCCTTCAAATCACAGTAATTTCAAAATGAAAAGCACCTAATGGAAATAGCCGAATTTCCTGATACTAAAGATATACCCTAAATCTAAAACAAATGTTCTATCAAAAGTGTGCCTTAGAAAATAAATATACAAACCTTCAAATATTCTGAAAGAATTTCAAACATGCTCATGCCATACTATCCTGACTGCAAGATCTCGGATATGTGCTTGGATAAAAATAAAAAAGGATCCAGCACCATCTAGTGGTCTCAAAACAATTTTGTTTCAGGCAGTGTTAACATTGACAGTTCCCAAGACTTCCTCTACACAAGCAGTTCTTAAACCTCCACTTTTAAGTTATCAGCATAGCAGTACCAGAAACTTTAAAAGGACTGTATTAGTCTGGAGTGGGACAGAGGAAAGACTGCACACACAGTAAGAAAGGCAAGAAGTTAGTACAGGATCTGGAAATTTCCTATGCTGCATGCTGCACAAAAGCACCTCTTTTACATCTCCTTCTCCTCATCTGTCTTGTTTAGTTAGGTTGACTGTCATTCAGAGCAAACGTGCCAAGACTACGTACAATGGGATCACAATCTCTTCTGGAGCTATGAAAAGCAGACCAACAGAAACATCCACAAGAGAGAATAATGTAACACAAACAGATGGTTTAAAAATAAGCATGGAGGTCTTCTGCACATTTCCAGAAGATACTGTCTGGTTTACTTGTAATGCAACCAACAACAGCCACAGCAATATATGGGAAAATGCATTCTGTTGAAAAACATGTTTTCAGCAAGATTTGTGGAGAAATATTATATAAGTAGCTCTCAGCAATTTGCAAAGTGCAGCTGGAGTCTGTTAGCTAGGGACTCTAGCTCAGCTATCGATGCAGTTCTGAGCCAGCTTCTGTGTGTGACAAAGATGAATCATAAAAGGAGTGAAAGCTGACAGTGAACATGAAGATGAAAAAACACATACAGAAAACAAAACAAACCCTGAAACTCAAAGGTGTCTGATTAACAAAAACCTTAGTTTTTTTTCCTTGAAGAGTAGGTCCAAAGAAGCATTTATGACTATACACAGTTCTGCACTGCTATTCTGAGCACTGCCAGAATTTTAGCCAACATACTATGGCAATATAAACACTCTACAAAAGTGCATTCTATGATTCAAATCAAAATGGTACTTTCTGTGTAAGAAAAAATTTAAGTAAAGCATTCATCTTCCAAATACAAACACATGTACTAAACTTCAGTGTATTACCAACCAAATTACTTCATTTGTCATTATGCATTCTGAAGTAGAAAAACTCAACTGAGACATATTTCTCATAATTTTACTGTAATTTCTAAGGGTTTTCTGGCAATACTAATTTTTCCCCTAGTGATCCTATATATCAATGAGAGGAGAAAAAAAAGAAAAAAAAAGAAATCAAAGTGTGCTCCAAGTTTCCTAAAATAAGTTATTAAAATACAAGTATTACAAACATAAGGAAGCCTTATTTTTGGGAAAAAAGCCCACAGCCTTTGTTAAAGCCAAATGAATAGAGAACATTGCTCAGTTCTACAGCTTCCAAAATTGCTAAGGGACATCCTACAAGATTGACAGATGGGAGGTATACCTTAATTTCTTAAAACCCATAAATCCTTTTTTAGGCATTCTATATGACTACTTACAACCAACATGCTAGTGTATGAAACAAATCTGTATTATGCATCTATTTTAACAAGACATTCTCAAGCAGTTCTGGAAAGGAGAAAGACAGATTTCAAGCTGATTTTTGTGACCATTTATTTGCCCATTTAAACTGACTCAATAAACATAGCAGCACACTGTGTAAAACAAAGTACAAGAGGATTTTACTCCACTTGGCCCTTACAAAGATACTACATTCTACACAGATGCCACATTTCCAAATGTCATCCACTAATACTATGTCATCCTTTCAGTAATCTTGCAGATATTTTTATCAAATGAGATAAATCTGAATAAGAATCTTAGCCACAAGGATATAGATGAAGCTTCTTTAACCAGTTTATTTTATATTGTTTCTCATTAGAGTACTACTACGCTTTTACAGTAACATTGATATTCCAGCACCTGTATTCTCAGATACTATAATCTCTGTTCATAAATACTAATATTCCAAATTTGCATATATGAGCAAAAAATATTAAAAATATCGACACAAAGCCCTCTAAATCTACAGATTGTTTTTCAAAGCTTTCTAATTTCCTGTTTGGTATGTCCATGTTATTTATCACAGAATAGCATTATCCATGTTCATACCATTTCAACCTCAGTTTTGTTTTGTTTTTTTTAAATAGTGGAAATAATTTCTTTATAGAAAAGCCTTATCTGAATGTGTTTCACCTAGCAGCTTAGTAACTGTTTTATATTATTTTCCTGCTGTCCATAAGAAAAATAAAGTATGTCTACTTAAAAGAAAATTGAAGGTCTAAATCAAGACAAATAAAAAGCTTATCTCCTCTCCATTAACAGCTCTGCAGTCTTTCCAAGCAGCATCTTCATATTTAGCACTACGACAGCAGAACTAGGAAGTTGCCTTTTCAGCTTTCATGTTTCAATTTATACAAAATAATTACTTCTCCACATTCTAATTTTTTTTTTTCTTTACCATAAGATTCTATTTCAATGGACAAGTCTCTGAAGGTTGAGCTCTGTTAAGAATATAATACTGAAGCTATCTAATCATTCTTATTTTGGTGGCCTTTACAAATTTCACAGTATGTCGTGCACCAAAACCTAAGTGCCTAGGATATAGGGAGGCTGTTAGATGTAATTCTGTTCTGTTTGCTGTGCTGCCTTCTTGAAGTAAATTTGCTACTTTCAAGCCTTGAGAGCCCTCTTGCAGGTAATGATCTAGCAATTTACTACCACCTTTTCTCAACTATTATTTTATTAATGTTGCTTTTGGAGCACCACTAACGGTATTTCCCTACGTACATTATTCTAAAACCAGAAAACTGTCATTTCCACTGAGAGGCAGCAAAGCTCTTGGTTATTTTCACTGCACTACATTTGCCTGACATTTTGCCAGTAGAAAAGGCGCTGGATCCTGGTTACATCTATGCCAAATCTATGTAACACAAGGCTCAAAATGCACTATTTTTGGCTTGCCACAAGCTGAGGTGCATTATCTATTGCTTAGGCACTTTACAGTCTGGTGGCAGTACAAGCAGTATGGCAAACACTTGTTCTCTATAAAGAAAGGTCCTGGATGGCCAACAGGATGGCCAACAGAAAACATGTAGCACCTGATTTCACAGGTGCTGAAAGATTTTACATATTGATGCATCTGTTCAGTGGTCTGGGTGCATGTAAATTCTAACTGGTTGACTTCATGAAATCATGCCTGACAAACCTAGTAGCC